ATGTTGGGGGGGGGGGGGCCCCTGTTTTAGAGCCCTGGGAAAATACAGCTAATCTCTCTTGCCCCAGATTTGCCAAGGTCTTAAATAAGGGCGCAGTTGTGTGAACTGATCCCCTCCCCCTCTCCCCCCCCTGCTCACCTCTAAGTCACTGGCTGTGATCTGGCTCAGGTGAATAGATGGGTTGGAGATGGTCCCCTTCACCTCGAAGTCACTGCCGCCCATGCGGCTCCAGGTCTGCATGGAATCCAATTTGTTTCCAAGTGGTTGCTCAGTGCCCTGAAAACAAAAAAGTGCACAAGTGAAATTGGCTGTGGTAAGGGGGAAAAAAAGGTGGAAAGATGAGTGATAGGCACCAGTCAGCTTCTTACACACAGCTGCCTTTTTTTTAAGAGCACTGCGTTCCATCAGCCGCTTGGCAAAGCTTGACACAGCAGCTGCCAAAAAGAGCTTGGCACTCACCCTGCAATAGTACCCAGGATGGAGTCAGGGGACCCGATGACCCTCCAGGGTTGTGCAGATTGCTTCTGATGCAAGCGCCCAAATAAAAAGACATCTTTTGATGACTCAGTTCTTGGAAAAAGGGCCAAAGTTTCAAAAAAAGAATTGGCAACAAAATGCCAGCCATTACTTAATAATAATTTTAAAAAAGTAAAAAGGATGCGAGGGCCTTCTGGATGACATGAGGGTAAATATCACTCTGGCAATGATCTGCCTGGAGGAGAACCACACCGTACTACAGTATTCCTCAGCTTCCAGACATACAGGTAGTCCTCAACTTACGACCACAATTGAGCCCCAAATTTATGTTGCTGAGTGAGAAATGTGTTCAGTGAGTTTTGTCCCATTTTATGACTTCTCTCGCCATATTTGGTAAGTGAATCACTGCACTTATTAAATTAGTAACACTATTCTTAAAGTCAACCTGTTTTCCCCCTTTACTTTGCCTGTCAGAAGGTTGCAACTGGTGATCACATGACCCCAGGGACACTGCGACCGTCATGTGTCAGCTGTCAAACATCTGAACGTAAATCACGTGACCACGGGGATGCTGAAATGGTCATAAGTGTGAAAAACGATCATAAGTCCTTTCTCAGTGCTGTTATAGCTTCAGTCACTAAGTGAACCATTGCTACGTCGAGGACTATCTGTACTTAATTCCTGTTTTTATTAGTCCCAATAAGATCAGGTAGTGAACAATATGTAAAAAGCTGATAAGCGTTATCTAAGCACATCCTGTACATGTAGTCCTCAATTTACAACCAATTGTTTAGTGACCGAACTTACAATGGCACTGGGAAAAAAGGGACTTTTCACACTTACGACCGTTGCAGCATCCCTGTGGTCACATGATCAAAATTTGGATGCTTGGCAACTGGCATGTATTTATGATGGTTGCAGTGCCCCGGGGTCACGTGATCATGTTTTGCGACCTTCTGACAAGCAAAGTCAATGGGGAAACCAGATTCACTTAACAACCGTGTGACTGGGAGAGATGACCAGAAGCGCTGCAGCGAGACAGACTGGAAATAGCGGGCTTTG